GAGGCGGGCGTCCTTGATGGAACGATATGGGCGCAAATCAGCCCCAGTTATTTCATTGAGTCTCACCAGCCTGACCATTCCGCCTGTTGATCTCTTATCCCAGCAAAATACAATTCTGGACTTCGATCCTTTCCCATTAAATGATTCCTCAGGCTTCGTCTGATCATCCGATTGTAGTATCGTTATTTTTAACCGATTGATTTGCAGTCTGAACACCCGCATTGTCTATGAGTCTTTCAGCTTGATGGTAGCGTTTCCATTACCGGGTAGCAGCAGAAACACTCCAATAAAACCCTAGAACCTTCCACAGTATCTGGTCACCTACTCTGACCATTTCTCTTGTCAGATCGTCTCTCTCCCTGGAGTGCTTCCTTCCTTGATTTTATGCCAGGCATGAGACCCTCGCGTATGAGGACCGGAGTACACTTCATTCTTACGGCTGAAGAAATGTTGGGCTAGGGAAGCGTCTCCCTCAGGCAAAGAGGTGGGTGTAAAATTTCTTGGAGATAGACTACGTCTCAGGTTTGCCGTTAATATGCCATTCTCGCTCTTTAACGCCGTGGTGGTCGACTGATGCAGCGCTAACGCTCTCCTGCATTGTCTCAAGCATCACGTGTCTTTCGCTGATTCCAGTAAGTTGCCCCATCGAAAGGTGTCGAAGATCTCCTTCAGTTTCCGGATAATAAGCTACAGAAAGGTTGATCGTGTCGGTCCTATTCTTCTTCACCTTCCTCTGCTTCTTCGTGTAAGACCCCTTACGCGAAGCAACTGAGTAATCTCCATGCATAGCCAGAAGAGAGGCTCAGTGAAATATCATGAAATGTACAGTTCAGATTGAGTGTTCCATTTGCAGCAGATCAGATACAAAGTGCAACCTTCTCCTCGTAACTCTCCTTTTACAACTACCTTTCCTCAGCGGACACGTTAGAGGCTTCAAATGTTGTTACATTGTGAAGAGGTGTGGAAAGAACTCACTACGTCGCGGAGTTACGATGAAGGCTGTTCAAACATGGTATTTCAGTAGATGAAATATGATCCTCAGCTTCCGACGTATGGCAAGTTTGAAATGGGTTGCAAAACCATTGTACGTTGCAGTTCGTCTTTCAAACGTGATCATTTTGTTATTCTATTGAAATAGGAAAGCGCGTATCCCTCTCATCAATAAAGAGGCGGGAGCCTCACAAGGTGCAGATAACCGTTTTATTGTACACATATTGCTGATAGATAGAATCCACTTCGATATGCTCACAAAAAATTTTAATCAGCAAGATAGCCCAAAATCCATCGAGGAAACACCACACAAATGGGACAAACAATCAAACGCAAAATGTGTAAGCCTTTAGTTTGTTACTTGGCATAACATATTTTCTGTCGTTGTTTTTGTGATTCGAAGCATTCGTCAGTTATAAACATTAACGATGTCATATGTTCAAGCATTTTTTTAAGTTTCACGCATCCGGTGTGAGCAGCATAATAAATGTTGCTGAATATTTTGCAAGTGCAGCTTCCCATTTACAAAATACCACAAACAGAATGTTGTGCCCGATGTGCTATAGAGTGCTTTAAATGGGCTTTAATGCCAGATGCAATTTAATGCTATTAAATATGTAGTGCTAACAAAGCATTTAAGGAAGGAACATTTCGGGAATCTCTCTTTCTGTTTAACATTGAACTCCTTTCGAGAGTTATGAAATCAATCACCATAGAGCTACGTTACGGAATACTGGAACAACACGAACCATTCTTACTATTTTTGCGCTTGAATGATCTAAAACTTCATGTGAAAAGCGAAAGTGTGCCGAAATGTCCTTTTGAACTGGTATCTATGTTTGGCTGGTCAGTCGGAATGGAGTCCGGTCTTGAAAAATATGCAGTTCGCGCTAAACGTGGAAAGCCGTTTTACCAATGGAACATGCATCTCGAAACTAAAAACCAGGAACTAAAACTGGAGGCATATCAGAAATATGAGGCCGTTATAAACGGTGGTCTGCGATGGCAATTATGATATGCTGAATTGGTCTCAGCCATCTTCTGATGATGATCTCGACCGAAAAATCATGAGTACATTAATGGATACTGTATGCAGAATCCCAGATCTGTTTTAGCCTGATTATATTTATTAAAAAGGCACAGGAACCACTGTATATTGCTGATCTCTGCAAAGAAGAAGAAAAGACCCTTCGCGCTCTTCTGACAAAAGATTCACCTTTACATACAACCACAGCAGAAGCACAAAGCAATATTGTGAGACCCACCACGTGGCAGAAACGAGAAGTGCTACCTCCGCTGCTAGTTCATGAATACAGTAAGGAAGCTCTCTATGGCCATTCATGTACTGCCCATAGGTTTTTTAAAATCAACCTGGGGAAGGCCTCCACTTGGTTTCGAGAGGAAAGACTGTTATGGCTAACGGAGGCAACGAGATCAAGCGGTGTTTGGAAAATACATCAAAAAGGAAACCGACTGAAATAAACGCAGAATGCGCGGTTGTACGTAGCAATGCTGTTTCCTACGTAAGTACTTCTACTGTCGCAGTTTAATTAATATTGACTAAGACCAAGTATTTCAAGCGTTAGAGTAGTGTCACAAAAATCATGCACTAAAAGTTAGTACATTATTGAGGCAGGTGTCAGAAACGATGTTGCTTTAGAGACACCGTTCAGAGACCATGCATTAAAACGGCCATGTATAATTTATTCGGACTACACTGGACTCACCGATCGGGCCGACAATCACAATCAAAACATATCAATGATGAATCACAAAAACAAGCAAAAAATTACTGGTGCTCAAAAACACATTATGCAAAAATCAGAAAATTTCTAGAACTTTACTATCCGTCATAAGCAGGAATATCGGTTGAAGAGTGTGTGAACGACGATAGAGATTAGTCGCTATCTCAGCAAAGGACACCATCAAAGATTAATACCATCGAACTTTGACCAATTTGAGCTCAGAGAAAGGCCAGGCCACCAAAAGGTTTTAAACAGCGGTTGTTTCTGGAATGAGAAAAACAGTGAATGCAGAATAATGTGCAATACGTTTAAACATTTAACTTTATATCATGCAAAAACTTATTAATATGGAATAACTAACAAATTCCCGTTTCTTGATTAATACAGTAAGAATAAGGATATCCTTTCAGTTGTTTCAACTTGACCGCGTAGTCGCATCGCGCCTTTGCTTCTTGTAGCCTAGGAGAAGGTCAACGCGTTGAAAGGATACAAATACCATGAAGTCTCTAGGCCACTGGAAGCAGTGGGATGTTGCGGCTAGGCCGTAAAAATTAAAAGAATTAAAAGAGTATGATTATTAAAAAAATGTCTCGAAACAAGACTAAACTCGCTATGTGCCAATAGGTACATGTGTTGCGTAAGTTAAAAAATTTTCACCAAATGACCGGACGACTTAATTGTTAATCGATGCAAAGCGTTGTCCGCACATGTCATGCTTCCCACTGATTAAAGAGTGAAGCTTACACATTTTGAATGTAAAGAAATAACCCATTATTCTTACACGTTTTATTGCAACAAAAAACTATCAACGCCAACACACTTCATCAAGCAACAACTCCAAACGATGCCCCGCTTCGGCGAAGCTTCCTGATGGCACCGTTCCGCAAGCGGGGCAAAAATCTGGCCGCAGAACGCAAAAAGACACTGTGAGCTACCGTGTCGCCAAAAGTTATGTATTTTTCATCAAATTCAGTCGTAACAAACCCGTAAATCAGCGTTTTGTTTCCAGCTTTGCCAATGACGGGGGATCCCGAGGAGCCCTAAAACGAAAGCTTTTAATAAACACGTTTACTTCCCTGGAATTTTAAGTCAGAGCAGCCCATCATGTGAACACGTATCTTCAAAAGCGATCCTGCAGTGAACGACGAACAATGGAACTTTCTGATAGCCACGGCAAGAGCCTCTGTTCTAAGTTGCAGTACTGAAGATCTCGTGATGTGCAGACAAACAGAAGTACTCAGAAACGACCGTCTTCTTGCGAAAGACGAATGAGTATGATATGACATCTCGTCCCTCTCTCCGATAGAGGATAAATCATTTACGGATAGCATCAAGTGAAATAAAAGCCCAAACCGGTATGTCGCGAAGAATATGTTCCCCAGATGCAAAATCAGTAATGGTCTACCACTAAAAATTTTAAGGTTCCAAAACGTTAGTAATATCACTTGAATTTTCCATGCATGTCATTGTTGTTCGTTATGATGGTCTTCGAAAAATTTACTCCTTATGCATGAATTATATATGATTTTCCTGATGTTCATCAACTCACAGGAGCCATGTTGAAACAGTACTTCAGATCAAGAGTTGTAAAGGCTTGCGGCTGATGTATGAGCAAGCCAGTATTACTGGCAGAGGCATTTGAGGCAGAGATTTGGATATGCAGACGTTTAATAAACTCGATCTTGAAAAATTGCCATGCAGGTTTCGAGAGGATCGACTGACAAAAACAGACGGATTGATTTTGTGATGAGGGAGCAAGTTCTGCTTATAGTGTCTGTAAAAATAACTCTTTGGGAAATGCAGAACATGTGGCAGTGCAACTAATTCAGTCAAACACGTTGTCGCAGGTAGCTGGGTTTCCGTTAACACTGCTTGGGATAAACTGTAAGATGACTTGGAAGTTACCATATACACCAAAACTAGCCACTGAAACACCCGTACTGTCAGAAATGAGCATTTTTTCGAAACCGTCCAGTGAGTGACAACGGATCGTCCATTTCCACTACTGTATACTCCACAAATCGTAGCATTGATCACAATCGTCCGGAAATATTGATCTTTGATCACAAGATCAAAATCACAACAAATTATTGACATCAGTGTTCCACTGTAGAATAACGAGTAACGGACATTGTGGAGAAGACAGAAATATACTAAAACATGGCTATATATCTGAAACAAGTGCATGGGTTGAGGAGCGTGTGAA